TTAAGGCGTATAGTAATAAAAAAAAGGCAAAGAAGTAAGTGTATATTAAAGCAAGTAAGCCTTCTTAAAAGTACTATAAATGCTATAGTAAAGCTAGGTATAACGCGCAAATATATAAGTAAAAAGTAAAAGTAGTTTCTAAATAAATTAGCTTATTATAATTTACTACTACAGTTTTTTATAGTACTATACTGTTATGCATAGTACTAATTTTAGTAAAGTCTTAGTATTATAACTAACTTAACTAGGCGACTAACTCGCCTGTGTAATATATTATATAGTATTATTAATTTATTATATTTATATAACGCTTAGTCAGCTAGTGTATAAATCTAAAAATAATTTTATAATATAATAAATCTTACTATAGCTTTATTTATAAGCTTTTAAAAATTATAAATATACTTTTATATTTTTATAAAAAGTCTTAACATATTACACAGGCAAGTTAGTTACCTAGTTAAGTTAGTTATAATGCTAAGACTCTACTAAAATTAGTAGTCTTCTACTATTAAACGTAATGCCTTAACATAACAACATATAATTTTTTTAAAAAAAAAACTAAATACAGCTTATAGTTTAGGCTTTAAAACGCAATATAAATTTTTTTTAATAAAAAGCTGCGTAGATTTACAGCATTTCTTAAATAATACTTAGTAATTAACTAAAAAGAAAGCTTTTATAACATAATACTAGGCCTAACAAAATAAAGCTCTTTTTAATAAAAAAAAAAGTAATTACTTAGTATATACTCTACTTTAAAGACTAAGAATTTCTGCCCTAACTAGCCGCTATAAATAATATAGCTAATACTTTGCTAGCTAAATATAGGCAACTACTTATTAGCAGAAACTAAGCTAGTATATTTATTAAATAATATTTACAGCTTAGTACTAGAACTTTTTAAAAATATAACTACTAAAAAGCCTTATATAAAAATCCTAAGCTTATATAAGGCTAGTTCTAACTTATAAAAAATATAAAAGCTAAATATAGTATCTAAGATAAAAATATATATA